CCACAAGGGGAGACGCAACGGCAGCCTGCAGGCTGGAAGGGGGCCGAGCCTGATGACGCAGAGGCCCGTCTCAGACTCCCAGCCTGGACACCCGTGAGATGTACCCGTCTGCTGCTTACAAGCCACCTCGGCTCCGGCACTTCATTAAAGCAGCACTCACACACCTGATCTCAGAAAACGAAGTACCGAGAGAGTGTGGTTCACTTTCCTGGAGATTCTAGAGAGCATGCGATCTCATCAGAAGCCTAAAACTAAAGTTGAAATGAACAATATAATGTGGTTACGAGACTTGTTAGTCATGAGCAGCTCACCAGTAGAACAGGTGTGCCCACCAGATGCAGAACTGGACCACAGCTCCAGGCCTGAGCAGCCGGTCAGTGAGCTGATGCGCCAAGGGCCTGCAGTGTCTCATCTGGTGAAAGCACTTGATGGGCAAGCAGCAGGCTTCCCTTCCGAAACTCCTGCCTCAGGGGCCAGCAGGTAGTGTAGAGGTTAAGGCGCTGGACTCCCACATAGCTGAGTACAGTTAGAGTCCTGGACCTGGCGGCTTCAAAGTCACACTACATGTGTGTGCGTGCATGCCCAAAAATCGCAAGAGAATGGAGGACAAGGGATTGTGGCATGGCCGTCACCCTGGAGGGTGATTTCTCAATCTTTCTCTCTTTCTCTCTTGTCTCTGGCAAGTGCACACACCCTATAGCAAAAATCTCTCTAAAAAAATACAGAACAAAACTCCTGCCTCAAACTCAAAATGTTGGCAAGAGTCATGGAGAAATGTCCCACTCAGTGTTAAAGCCAAATTCACGTTTTCAGGTTAAATTCTAAGTCAACTCAAAAGCAAGAAAAAATGTATACAGGTGGTAAAACCATGAAAAAGAGCAAAGAAATGATCACCACAGAAGTTGGGAGAGGGGTCGACTCCTGAGAGAAGGCGGTGCGTGCAGGGCCGGGCGTTGAGATGCAGGACCTTCTACCTCTCAGCCTGCTGGGCCCACGGGGTGCTGTGCGGACTGCTAGGCTGCACTCTGCCCCGGGCACCGTCGCGTTAAAAGGATGTAAGGAGAAGTGTCCCGTGCACACTTTTAGAACGACACCTATGCTTGCTACGGAAATTAGAGGGAGCCTTGTTGACGGCCATCGCACCACTCCACATGGTCAAAGCTACTCCGTGCTCTCATTTATTCTTTTAATACGCCGGCCGATCCTTCCAAAGTGTGGTAAGCTGATCTAATTAGCCACTTCGCTGTGAAACAGGCTTCTTGTGAGGATTAGCGACAATGCAAGGCCAGGGACAGATGTGTAATGAACAGGTGTCAGTAAGGGGCAGCTATGGCCCCCTTCCCTCCAGAGGACCCGTGTGCCACCAGTCTGCTGCCTAGGGAGAGGGAAGGCACTGGGGGGTGGGGGAGGTGGGGCTCCAGAGCCTCAGGGACTGGGCACCTAGATGGGAAGATACCCCTAAGCTTGTACAGATCTTAACTTCCTCCTCATTTAAAAAGATCCAGATCTCAGTAGCCACGAAAAGTGCTAGCTTGTTAGTAAAAATCCTTTTCTATTTTTTTAACCTTTAAACTTTTGAAATCCCTATAGATTCTCTGTGTGAGTTGCTGGCATATTTTAGTTTCCATCCAGGGTTCATGGCTCTTAAGTAGTTGGGCCTTATTGTTAGTTCCTGAAGCTCTCCAAGGCGGGTCACAGAAACTAGCCCTAAGACGAGTTTCAGAAACTGGTCTTCCACCTTTAAGAACCTCATTCCAGAAGTCTCCTGGCCCCATACCTGGGAGGAAAGACTACTACAAAGAAAGGCCAAGAATTTGAACAGACAGGTCTTGCTGGGTTTCCTACCCAGTCTATGGGCATTCCAGGCCTGTGCCACAAAGTCTTAATAAAGACCCCAAGGGCAGGGTTTGGAGACCACTGGACAGCTGAACAAGCAGAGGCCTGCAGGAAGGGGAACATGAAACTTCCCCGGGGCTGGGCGGATGGTGTTCCCCAACTCCACAGAACTGACGCTCTGCACTAAGGGGCCTTCCACACCTCGCCCTATGCATCTTCTCATCTAGCTGTGCATCTGTCTCCTTTAAAATTACGGTACTTAACTGCTCCTTACACCAGCCTTCTCATGCCACCACTTCCGCGTCACAGTCACCCCCCATCCCTAACCCTGGGAATCACTCATCTGCTCTCTGGAACTGTTAGCTCTCGAAGGTGAGACATGCAGTCAGTCATGCACTCTGCGTCCTTTAAGATGAGCTTATTTTTCCTACTCAGTAGAGTTCCCTGATAGTTCTAATTTTAAACAGACGGGCTTTACAAGTTTTTAGGTCTTCTAGGAGACATGGATCGAGAACCCCTGAACATGAGCGCTGGTATTAAGAGCAAAAAGAAAAAAAAAAGATTCTGAATAGATTAGAAAAAACTTAGAGCACCAGATTTCATGACCCACCCCGACTTTTGTGTACAATGACACTAAAAAGTGGCATGGGTGACCGCTCCATAGTGCCGGTATAGCTAAAGTTCAGTCTGTCTTTGTGAAGGACAATACTGTAAGACTCTATGCTTTCCTGAAAGCTGCCACTACACTTAGGAGGTGGCTGTGGTGGAGTCAAAGAATTTTTAAATCTCACATTGACCTATGAGGATAAAGATCCAGCTCCTCTTCCACAAGGTTCCAACACTAATATCCCGGCCCGAAACTCACAGGTCGGTTCACACTACCCTGAAAACCCCTGAGAGCAGTGAGCAGGGCCATAATCCGGAACAGCTTCCGCCGTGCCCAGCAGATGCACGTCCAGGAGGCATGGTGACCAGCTGGGATTTCAGCTGGATGCTTTGCTTACTCGAACCTGAACTTCGATAACAGAGCAGACTGCTGCAACTCCTGCAGGGTACCCGACACCAAGGACCGTGACCCAGATGGTGGCCTAGTGACGGACCAGTCTTCGTGTGTGCCCTACGACCCGGCCTACTTACTGAACCACACTCTGCCTCAGACCATTCCGCAGCTGGTTCTTGTTCATCGTGGGATTCCATTCCTG